GGGAACTTCTACAAGAATTCACCATTGCACTTCGCAATGCACACCGTGAACCTTTCACGGCATGGACACAGGGTGAGCTGGATGAGATGGTGCGACGGAAGAAAGACAAGGATTCCAGGCCCACCTACAAAACCATTGCTCGGTTCCTTCAGAAGCCCATTGAGGAAGTCAAGCAGGCATGGAAGGTCTATCAGCAACTTGAGGCTCGCGGCTAGGAACCCGGTCATCAAATGCAACAGCGACCACAGGAGGACTAAATGGTAGGCCGTGGCGGTGTATTCGGTTAGCGCTGCAGGTTGTTGCGACGGTTGGGATTGCAGTCATTATTGATCACATGAAATTTGCTTGCTTGCACTTGACTGGCATTTTACCAGGGTAATATTGCTTGCCGTTGTGGGTGTTGCCGCTGACGTGAATTGAATGCATGACTGAGTTGCTCAAATCATGTCGGAACAAGTCGTACAGACGTACATTACTTGGACCCATGGAGCGCAGCCGACGTGGTTACAGTTTCACGGACCTGGTGCCCTGCTTGACAGACCCATTCGGCAGACTACGTCACCTCCGCCCCCACCAAGTTTCCCACTGCTTCTTCCACCTCCGCCTCCTCCACCGCCACCACCACCGGTGATTCTACACCCACAGTTTATGCCCTCAGTACGGAGCCCCTCGATCTCAGCTCCTCGCGGACAATCCTGCCCTGCCACATCGAAATCGCAGCGCACACGCCGCTCGATCTACAGCACTGACAATTCCCGTGATGAAGAGCTACGCAGTCCAGGGCGTTCATCCAAACGATCTCGGACAGCATCCGCTTCTGCACCGCGGAGATCTCGGCGGCCCTTTACCGTGTTCCCCTCCAAACGTGCTGACCGTCCATCGCTGTCCCCATCGGCAAATTGCAAGCATTACTGTCATGCCTTCCTGCGCCATGGGCGGAAATGTCTTTCCCCTTGTGCTCGTAGACGACCAGGACATTATCATTGCAGGTGTGCGCGGCATCAACGGCGGTGAAGCTTAGGCGTCGTATAAGTCGTATATTACAAACCTCGCTGCTGTGTCTCACCTTGAGTTTGAAAAGTTGCCTTGCATTGCTTTGGTTGACACTTCAGCTGCGCGCGGTTGTCATTGCATGTGTGTCTTCGCCGCAGATTTTCGATTGCTTTTAGCGGCCGCGCGATAGCCTGTCTTGCCGCTATGAACCCTCAATATTTCGAGTACCAGATCGAGAGAGGAGTGGAATGGATTCGAATTTACTCACCGGGCACGTGGCGACCCGTTCCCGATGATGCTCCAGTGCTCGCCCCGGTCTACGCTTCCACGTATCGGGAGTGGCGCAGGTCATATCGCTTCCAAGTGTACTGGTCCGAAGACAGCACCGGAGGAACAACAGCGGATCCCATTGTCACGCCCAGTTCGTATGTGTCCTACCACGTGTGGGAGTACCGAGACTGGCAAACACGAGGGTATCAACGACTTGGAGCTCCTTTACCAGCCATTGGACTCGCGATGCTCGTGAATGCAGACGCCAATTCCTCGGTGGACTCATCGGTTCCGGATGGGGCGTGGCGAGAGCCGTCACCACCACCATTCTATGATCCTTGGAACGATTCGGAGTGATACTTGAGCAACATGTCGGATAAAATGACGCGGTTGTGCTTGCTTTGTGTGCGATTCCATGTTGAGTTGTCTTGCTTGGTGTTGTGCGTTCCGTCTCCAGTTGTTCGCCGCTTTCATTTGACTCTGAGCGGTTTGCCTGGTTGATATGTTCAATTGTACAATGTATAGCGCAGCACGATGGGTCCTGCCTCGCTACTTTGACTACGACATCGTCAATGGCCCCGCGAATACGAGTGTAGAATGGATTCGGATCTATGTACCGGGTCCGTGGCATCCAGTCGCCGAGAACACCTTGGGACCAGCCCCGGATGACTCAACCACCTATCGGGAATGGCGCAAGGTTTACCACTTCGAAGTGTATTGGCCGAGGGATAGCACAGGCGGCACCAATACAGGTGCTGTTTCGCAGCCGGTATCTTATGCATCCTTCTATACTTGGCATTATAGAGACTGGGTCACCAGGGGATACCAACGGCTGGGTCGCCCACACCCTAGCATTGCGCGGCCAGTTTTCGCTTCGGGCGCACCGGACCTCATGTACGCTGGATTGACCTCTTCATCGGCATCCTCCAACTCGGATGGTGGCTGATGCTCGTCCTCGCCTTCCTGGGGAGTCTGTTCAGTTCAATTCGATTCGGGAGATTGACTTCGATACCGGAGCAGTGCATTGCTGCAAAAGTGATTTCTTGCACTGTGGTAGTTGTGTCTCTTTCAGTAATTGTTGTCTGCAGCCGTACCTATCAATTTGTCTTTCCGGGTTTGCGTTGTCATGCCGTGGCTGGAATGGTGTCCGGATCCTCAACAACCAGATGCCCAGTGGGTCAAGATCTTTCATCCGGGATCATGGACTCCACATGAAGAACATGATGCTCCACCTCCACCGCACACGTATAGAGAGTGGAGGGAGTTCTATGCTCCCAACCCGGACCAAGACGGTGAGCAGCTCAATGTCACCATGTGGTACAAAAGAGACTGGGCCACAGAGGGCTATCGGAGAGTCGCTGCCCCTCAAGCTGGTCATGACTTTGATTCTATGTCTTTTCCTGATCATCACAGCGTGGCCACGCAATCCGCGGCATTGAGTATGTCACCGCAGATGTTAGAAGCGATCCTTAGATCCTCGGATGCGGCGGATTTCTCTACCGAAGAACTGACTCGTCTCCAAGAGGGGATTTCTCAACAACTGACAGCTCGCGCACGTCACGCTTCCCAACTTCATCAACCTGTACGTGCATCACGTGGAATCACACCATCGGAGACTGTTGGGGTCTCCGACCCATACCGGCCTGTTAATCCTCCCGACAGCTGCAAAGCCAAGGCGAGACCTATCTTCGAGCTAAATGAGGACTAGACGCACGCGAGTGGGGTAGCATACAAAATAAGGGTGGTTTCCACACTTGCATTACCTTGCTTGGTTGTTGCTTGTACATGGTTGTGCATGGTGCCTGTTCCTCTATCAGCTGGATCGGAGCCCGCGATACGCCTTGCCTCTTACTTCGACATGGACATCGAGGATTCGAAGCAGCACCCATGGCTCGAATACTCGGTCTGGCAGGATCAGGAGTGGGTGCGGATCTACACTGCAGGACAGCCTCAGCAATGGCACCACGGAGAAACTGTACCTGATCTACCAGACAATTCTTTTCGGGAATGGCAGCGGGTGACTGATCCCAATGGGCGCACTGGTGAGCACGGTCAGGCATGGACCATCCGCGACTGGCAGCATCAGGGATACCAGCGCATTCTGTCTCGAATGGAGTCCTTCACAACTCATCATTCGCATGATCAATCTCTTGGTGAAGTTCGGAATTCCGATGCCATTCCAGTTGAGGAGACGTTCACCTATGCTACTCCGTTTTCTCATGGTGATCGCTCGACTGCTTCACAACTCGCTTCAGTCCTCTATGGCGACACTCGTAATGCTCAACGTGGTGATCTCTCGTTCCCGTCTTCTGAGCGGTTTAGGGCTGTTTCTCGTTCCCCTCGCCGCGGTGGATTTTTTGGTCAACGATAGGGACACGGGGTTGAGCATGTGATCTTCCTGCGGAAAAGGAGACTTCTCGCCCCTCATTGAGGGGCGTGTGTGTGCGGAGTGACAGAATGCCCTGTCACCACCCTTTCGGTTTCTCAGCAGGGGGGTCACCCGCAGTCACGACCGGTGACCCAACGAAGAGGGTCGTGACCTGCGCTGATATCTGACCTGATCAGTCAGACGTACCTGCCGAGATGGTTGTGTTGTTCTGAATGTCCTTTTGGTCCCCCCCTGAACTGCCGTTGCTTCTGTGTGTCCCTGTTAAAGTAACTACAGGGAAGCCAAGCGTTATGCGAGTCGAACCTCATCATACTCGAGACTTGTCAGTTGTACTCGAGACTCATCAGTTGTACTCGAAAGATTAGCACTCTCCATTTGGAGTTTAAGTGTGTGTGTGTGTGCGTGTGTGTGTGTGTGGTGTGTGTGTGTGGTGTGTGTGTGTGCTTTTAATATATATATATATATTTTCCGGGCGAAATTGGAAGCCAAAGAGAAGTCACGTCCCACATGGACCGGTGGTTTGGCGTTTATGGGTACTTAAAGTGAAAGGTTTGTGGGGAAAAGGCGAAAGGACTGCTTTGGCGCAAACCAAGCTCCACCAAAAGTCCCGTGATTGGTTGGCAAAAACCAAAAAGTATATTTTACTAAAAAGTGTTCCATGTATTGTTTGGCAAAATGAAGTGCCCCCCCATCAACAAGCATGGAAGTATGCGACATGCTTGGAATGGGACTGTGCGCAGTGTTTGTTCGCGGGAGGGTAGGAAGAACTAAACTTGGATGCTCACAAGGCGCAATGTAGGCAGGCCACATCCATATCTGTATACATATATGCATATTGCATACACATAAATATAATTATGATATATATATATATATACATATATATATATATGATTCGCAAAGGCAGTTGAAGTTGAGCGATGCAAGCACAACTCCATTGGCTTCGCAGGCTTCGGCGACAGGCAGCCTGCACTGCTGTTGGAATGACCTACGGTCAATATCTGTCATCTCATCTCTACCACCAAGAGTTTCTCGTTCAAGATCCACGGCACGAAAAGGTTTCAGGAAGAGGATTGACTGAGCCTTTGTTAGAGCACAATCAGGACATGAGAGAAGCCATGTGTTGCGGGGTGTTTTTTGGCATACCAATGCGAGAATCCCACCTGCCCGAAAGGGCAGATCTGGCCGGCATGGAGCTTTGGCTACTGAGACGAAGGAAGCCTTCGCAATGGGAATTGGAAGCGCAATTACATGGGTCTCCTCCAAGACCATGATTCTGATTCGGCTTGAGGGTAGACCAAACATATGAAACATCTGAAGATATGTCCTGTGACGCCATCGGCTGCAGGCATGTCGCAACTTGGCGCTGCAGCAGCTCGACATCTCCACGGCCCGAGCCCAAGGGAAAGGGGGCGCACCTGTGGACGTCAGAGAGACCGGTTTCAGAGGTGGGATGCGTTCTTCATTTCAGATGTTGGGACGGTCCTTCAGAACTTGGTTGGATTCATTTTCTCCCTGAAAAGATGGATCGTTGGAAGGCCACACACAACTCAAGCCAGCGAGTGTACTCACACGAATCGCTATACATTTTCAAGCACCCCATGTATGCCATATTTGCCCCCATTTACTCTCCACATGGCTCAACTGCTGGTAATTGCTATGTGTAAAGATATAGAAACATATTATGTAGATGGGTTGTGATTTGTTTTTGACCCTTATTCAACGCTGCTGCCCAATTTCTCGTATACAGTTCGCACCCCGGGATGATGAGAGCCAAGAGTGAATCGCCGACTGCCACGCCTTCCTAGGTGGATTCACAGATGTACCCAGGATGTTGACAATCATATGGGTGTGGCTTTTTTCGGGGACCAATCCGAAATGCTGGTTTTCCTCGTGGTTTCCCTTTAAACCAACTCGAACAAGGGGGTAAACTCAAAAAACATGCCAATATCATCTACGTGCTGCTGTCCGAAAGATGCGACTGGCTCTCAAGGTCGGCGGTTTCTCGGAGACGAAGAAACCCGATTCCAACCACTAAAACCACGGGGCTTCATACAACCCTGACATGTGCCCTGGGATTCCAACAACCATAAAAACCATGAAACCAATGGGTGAAAAGACACATTGTCTACCTTTGCTTTTTACAACCCTTGGGGAAGTCTTCCAACACTCGAGGCATTTTTTGGAGGCCAAGTGCTCGGACAGAAGCTCATCGATTGACACGTGGGCAGACCTCGGAAAATCGCTCTGTCGGCATAGTTGTGTCTTTTTGAGGGTACGCTGGAGTACATGGGAAGCCACAAGGAAAGCAGCATCTTTGGGGTCCTCGTATTTTGACAGATACCTCTCTATCTCCCTCTATCTATACATATATAAGTTAATATGTATTTGTGTTGTATATACAGGGATAGAGACAATATATGTATATATATATATATCTATACATAATACGTGTTGTTTCTGACCTTGGCAGGCTCTGCGCAAGTGCTTTTCACAGAAGACAGCCTCCCCAGCCCCGAGGTGGCCTTGGTTCTTGGCGTGGGCCATGCACTGGCCTCGGTTTTTGTGCCGAGGGAAGCCATCCACCGATCCTTTCTGCCGGCTGCCATGGCTCATAGTAAGCTGCAGTTGTCCATGGTCCATTTGGGATGGACATGTGGGCTCCCGCTTTTTGTTTGTCCCTTGGCCTATGAGTTTTGGAGAGAGGGGCCCCTTGATTGCATTCTTGTCTGACCCCGTTTGCAGAGGAACGCTGAGAGAGTTATTGTTTGGCAGCCTGAAGAGTCGGCTTAGAAGCCAACGAGGAGCCCTTGGATCGTGTCGAAGCAGTTGGCTTTTAACACCTTGGGTTTGCGTTTGACGAATGTGTGAGGCTATCGGCGACGGAGAGATGCTGCGGCAAGCATACTGGCAGGGTGCTTATTGCTCAGGGTTCAAAGTAGGATGGCCCGCCTCTCCGATAGTCACAGAGGAAGAAGGACCACACTATCCCTGGATCAATCATGACGGCTTGTGACAAAGTGTACTTAGATGACCATGCGCATCTTGCTGTAGACTGGAAATGGTTCAATGAAGTGGCCGGGCTTTGAAGCTTGTGTGATCCTGTTGCTGCTGCTGGTGGTGGTGGTGGCGGTGTTCTTGTTCTGGTTCTGGTTCTGGTTCTTGGTTTTGTTCTTGCTTGTGTTATTGTTATTATTTTATTGTTCTCACTGTGCTTGACGTTATTATTGTCGTTGTTGTTGGTGTTATTGGTGTTATTGGTGTTATTGGTGTTATTATTTTGTTGCTGCTTGTTTTGCCATTATGATTGTTATTGTTAGTATTGTGATGAGTGTCATGTTGTTATTGTTATTGCTGTTTTGCGTGTTCCTTATGTCTTTCTCTTTTTTCTTCTTGCTCTTCTTGTCACTCTAGATATGATTGTTCTTCGTGTTGTTGTTCTTGTTCTTCGTGTTGTTATTATTGTTCTTCGCGATGTTGCTATGTTTCTTGTCAGTAGCTTTCTTCTCGTTCTTACTGTTATGGATGTTATTATTTTTGTCCGTGTCCTCCTGAGCAGCTCTAAAACCCCCCGTTACATCCCAAGAAGAGTTGTGTCATACCAAGGCCCCGCGCAAGCAAAACCCTGCACGGCGTAAGCCGGCGGCGCAAACACTTTTAGGGGAAACAAGCTGCGTAAGCACCTGCGTAAGCTCTTGATCGTGATTGCTTGGTAAGCTTTGTAAGCATGCTCGGAAGAGTTGTGCTTATGATATTATTGGTGGCTTGTGCTGTTGCAACCTAGTCGAGCTTGGCAACTTGCCCGGAGACTTTGGTTGCAGGAAGACGTCTAAGACCGCATGTGCACACCATTAGAAAACAAAACCAGCCGAACCTTGATTGGGAGCTCTTGGGGCTCATGCCAGGTGCTGTTGCAACCTTTACTAGCGCTGATCCATTAAAACTAAAGGGGCTCGGGCGCGCAAGCTCGCGAGAGCAGGCGCGTAAGGTGCGCGTAAGCTCGCCTAGCTGGGCTGCCCACTAGCCCTCGCGATGGATGCTGCTGCCGCACAACCCGTTTCTTGACTTGCAGCAAGAACAACAATGCCAAGTCGCTGAAACTCGTGAGGGTAGTTCTTCGTCATCTTCTTCCTCAGGGTCATCCACATCATCTTGAACAGTTCTGGCGGCTGCATGGAGCTCGCGTAAGCAATCTTTGAGGAGAGACGCTCAGAACGCCCACGCGTAAGCCATGCGTAAGCTTAACATGCTCGCTGACTGCCCCGAAAGCTTAAACTTGGGTCGCGTAAGGAAAGCGCAAGCTCGCGCGTAAGCAACTTGATACGACAATATAGGGATTTCTTTGTGTCATTATTGTCTTGCGTTTCTTGTTATTCTTACTATTTCGGTCTTCTCGTTTTTCCTGCTTTTGTTGCTGTTTTTGTTGCTGTTGTGGTTTGTGGTCGTGACGTGGTCATGACTTTCGTCGTTGTTGTTAGTGCTACTGCCACTGCCACTGCCACTGCCACTGCTACTGCTACTGCTACTGCTACTTGAGTTTTACTGCTGCTTATTGTTGTTGTTGTTATTGTTTCTCTTGTTTTTTTGCTCTTGCTGTTGTGTTTCTTCTGGTTCTTGTGATTGTCCGTGTTCTTGGTCTTGGTCATGTTCGTGGTCTTGGTTTTGTTCTTGTTCTTTTTCTTGCCGTCGTCGTTGTTGGTGCTTTTGTTGTTTGGTTAGAAGTTGCAGCCTGGCGCATAGTGGACTGGAGCAGTCGTATCCGCGTAGCCTTGAGAGAGAAGACATTAATTGTTCGGCTTCTCAGGTGCGTACGCGAGACGCTGTGCAATGCCAGCGGGGCTTCAGCTGGCATGCTTGACCGTCGTTGGAGAGCAAGCGAGAGAGATAAGGAAAGATACACCTCCTTTCCGTTGTGCAACCGTTCTTTTCTTCACCTTGACTTGGGCAAGCGACGGTTGATTCAAGGGGTGAGCAAGCGAATGAACCACAACATCAGGAGGGTTTTCTTGGCTACAGGGTCCGTATCAGACAAAGCCCCAGCTTGTTTTGTGTTTAACCCCTGCTACAACAAAGATTTGTCAAGTGCCTCAAAAGCATCAAACTGCATTGCCAGGTTGAGCTTGCCCGTTTGACTTTGATCCTGTTTGGTTTTCCGCCATTTTCCCTTCAACCAGCAGAAAGTTAGAGTTGTGGGTCTAAGTCAGGTCAAATATAGACATGTTTGCAACATAGCAGCAGGGCGTCTATGACCACCGGCCCAATGCAAATTTGAGTGAAGACAAGGCGGACATCACCAGCGAGAATCAAGAGCTGCTTGCACTTGGGCGATGAACGTAGGGCGAGCTCATATGACAAACGCGCATGTCACCCACGTTTCTCCCATTTGGCGCGGACGAAGATGGCAGGCAACCATGAGATATTTGTTTGTCAGGAATCAATGTCTACCCAGCTCTCCAGATTTGTCTACAGCACATTCAAAATCGGAGTGATGTTCCTTTCAGCCCTCTCAATCGAGACTGTCCACAATGTATGAGACAAAAAATCAACCCAGGATGTGGACCGGTTCCAGTCCTTTCCATTGGCCGAACGGGTAGCCCATGTTGGTACCCCATGTCTGACCACCGCCTGGTGAAACGCCATGCCCATCACCGTGGCGCTTTTCGGAAGGTCCCGGAGGAGTGGCTCAATGGCTCCGGGGAGGTGCGATTGCTCAAAGGCCGCGGGGGCTATGCGGGGCAAGCGCGCTCTGCCACCTGACGTTCGGGGGGGTCCCTTTAAAAGGAAAATGACGTCGAAACCAGGGCCCATTTAAAATGTGAGATGTTACAAACAAAATGGTGGGAGGGTAAATAGCCCAGAGTTTCGGTTGGTTCTTTGTTCCCGTTCTTTTTCTTCTTTTCTTCGTTCTCCCACCTAAAGGACACTCTCATTGTTTTTGGACGATCCTGGTGAAAGCGACCTGAATCCTCACCTACATTGTGTCCATCAAAGGGCCCCTATTAAAATGTATGCCCAACTGATTGTTGAAACACATCGGTTGCAGGTCCTCCGTGTAAAGCTTCAGATTTGAACCGGCTTGGTTGGCTGCAGCCTGCTTGCGCACTGGTGGAAGCACAGTAGGGTTTTGAGATCAACGTGCTCAAGCAAGCTAGCGTTTGTCCTTTCTGGCTGTTTGACATCACTGATGGTTACTGGCAATATTCATTGACAGTGAAATGCTCTGTGTAACCAGCGAGGTGTTGTAGATGTCCTCCGTGTTCTTGCCATGTGGGGGGCACCGCCCAGCCTCACCTAAGAACATGAGCTGTGACGCTCTTCACTAAATCCGTTTTTGTGCCTGTGTGTGTGTTCACGTAGCAGCTGCTTTTACCGTGCCATACCCAATCAGACAATCAAGGCTGACTGAAGGACATTTCAGGCACGGACATATGTCATGATTACCCCTTCCACCAGTTCCCAATCAGAGCAGTCTACGGATGACCTCCCATGAGTCTTGTGCCTTTTGCTCCACGGCGTAGGTGGGTTTCTGGCGCACCGCTCGGTCTGCAAGACGCCTTTGAAGGTGCTTTCAAAGGCGCCTTCTCTCTGCACGGGGAGCAGGCAATTGTGAGTCCTAGTGTGGATGATTGCAAAATCCATTTCGCTCCCTCATCAAAATCGAAATAACTCCACTTGAATTCTCTTTTTGTTTACCCTTGACTCGTGGTTTCTGGGATGTGTCCTTGAAGGAACCCTGATGTTGCGATTTGGTGTTTAGTCTTGCCAAACTTGGGAGAACGCTTGCAATGATGTCATTGGATCCTAGCAGCTTCGGTTGCTTGAGGTTCCTGGTGAAGCAACCACCGTCCGACATGAGAAGCTAGGAAACCTGACTTGCAGGCTCCGTTACAAGCTCACATAGGCGCAAAACGAGCTCAAGGATGACAATGCCTGACTGGGTATTCCTTATTTCTGGTTGCAACTTACAGTAATTTGCTCAGATTAGATGGCTGCAGCGCAAGCCTTGGGTAGCTAGTCGTAGATGGCCTTTCAGTGGCTTTTCGGAGCGTTGTGGGCATCCGCGGGGCGAGTGAAGGAAACCGAGGGCTAACGCCTGTGCCGAGGGATAGTTTCACCCGGAGGCACGAGAGAACGTCAAGATTTGAATCCGTTTTCTTCTTTGAGTCTGTGGCAATTGACGGGCCAGTCCTGCCCAAATTGCCACTTAGTTTCTTCACAGTGGAGGGGAGACCCTTTCGCAGAATCCATTGTTCAGTCATGCTGAGGGGGTCTGTGTCAAAATAGGGGGACTGGGGGGACAGTCAAAAAAGATGGGTGGTGTTTCTTTGAGTTCCCTTTCAACCAACCCCAACAATGGTACCCTCAGAAACCACAACACTATATTAAGGAACTCTTCGTGGCAGAGACCTTGCAGGCCTTGCTGGAAGATGCCACGCTGAAGCAGCAGAAGTGGCTCACTGCCACGGACTGCTACACCCTGTGCCAGGCGCGGCTTGCGGGTCTGAACGTCCCGACGTCCCAAGGTTGGTCACGAAGGATCGTGTTTCAAACTGGGTTGGACACCATGGATAGGCTAACGTGTCAAGCTTTAACCGTTGATTTTGCAGTGGAAAATGCAAGGGAGCAGGGGGCGCATTCAGCCAACCTCTGAGACTGCGTTCCATCTAGATCTGGCTCCGAGTGGACAAGCCCAACATGCCTCCAAATCACCCATTGGGAAGCTGATTGCGGGCTACCAACATGCCCTCGTGTCTACCATTGGAGCCCTTTACGAAAAATCGTCCCACCCCTCCTCCAACGTCGGGGTCTCATTGGCTTAGGTGCACCGGAGCCGCTCGGAGGACGGAGGCTATCCCCACCTCTACGAGTCCCTTGGGTTGCAAGCCGCGGTCGGAGCGGCTCGAATTCGGGGACTCGTCAATGCCAGAATTCGTTAGTCCAACGTTGGCGACGAGTATGATTTAATGAATATTCTCCCAAAGTGGTTGTTAGACATCGTGAATGCCGACCTTTTTGTTGGTAAATCCCCTACTTATAGAGGCGGGTGCCCTTGTGGGAAAGCCTTTCTTCAAGGGGGGCCTGATTAATACGTATTTGGGGGCTTATTAATCAGGGGTTAAGATGATTTCAATGACGCATACCCTCCCAAGTGGTGTGTTGACATAAATTCCCACCGAATTTCGATGTTTATAGAGGGTCCCCAAATTTGCATTCACACCCTCATCTTGGGCTCCAATGTTGACCCCGTTGATTAAATCCGTCCTAATAATAAAGGGGTGTGTCCATTTACCAGGGTGCCATTTTGGGTACCTTTTTTGGACCAGCCATATTGCACGGTATTTGCAGGGACGGGTTCCAAGTGCACTAAGGGTCGTGTCACTTCAAGTTACCACGTGGGGTAGCTTTTGAGGTGTAAAATATTTTTCTCGGGATGCAACTGGATGCAATTCACACACCCGATTTATGGTCATCCCACGGATTGAGTCACTGCCCTTTGTGCTAAGCTGGTTGCAAAGATCGAGTGGATGTCCTGAGTGCAAGGCATACACTGTGTCATTCTTGTTCAGATATGCTAGCGTTCTTAGTCTCAGCCACTAGCTTGGGGTTTCAACTGGGGATTGGGATTGTCTCATCAAGGATTGTCTTTCTGGATTTGCACAATCGAAGCTGATGCAGTGCTTAGACTGGCCTGGGGCATTTGTCAGTTTCTTTGATCAATCTTTCAGAGCAACGGCCAGCGGAGAGCTACAAAGTTGTATTGCGCACGGGCCTGGCGTTCTTAGCGCTAGTTCTTCCTGTGGAATCTTAAGGCTCATTGGCTCATTCGGGATGCATACCATCCATGAGCCATCGACTTTTTGGAGAAAATGAACTGTACTTCTTGGCCTTTCACCACAAGTGCATTGATGTTTCGCTATGTACTTATGTATTTGTTTCCAAGTCTCGCCTGTAGGCTGCGGCTGGACCACTCGGATGAAATTCTGATGACGGCGCAAAGGCGGGCAAACTTCCGTTTGTCGTTTTGAGACCTGCCAAATCGGTTAGGAAGCCAAACGGCTGTTTATCAAATAGGGTTCCCCTGTGGTTGGTTTCCTTCTGGTTTCCTAACAAAAGGGTTCCGAATCCCATTTCGAGAAACTCGGATGCCGATTGCCTTTTGCACATGCCCAGTGCTCGGTGCGGCCAGTTCCGCCTCTCGCTTTCCTTCTTTGCTTGGCAGTAGCAGGAGGCGGCACACTGGACACTGAGGTGCCAAGGTGCCAGGATCATGCAGGGACCCTTAGACATCATTTGCGGGTTGTATTGAATTCAGCAGGGTTTCTCAGCATCGACTACCCTGTATGAGCAAAAGGATGCCGTGGCCCAAAGGATTGCTGGTTCATGGTACACCCTGACAAAGAGAACGGGCAACCTAAGTTCGTAGAGGACACTCCCTTCGGCAAATGGGCCGGTTTGGTTGATTCGCAGGAATGATATGCAGTGGGCGCTCGTCTGAGGAAAGCCAAACTAGGAAACTTCGGGACGCTGTCCGGAAAGGCAATTCCTCGAACTCAGGCATGCGGTTTTGCTCGAAGCATATTCTTGAAACACTTGACCAGAAGCAGAGGTTGACATGTCATCTATGATTCTTCCCGATTCCTCCCAAACAACGGCGGGCCCCCTGTATGTCTGTATACCAGGGTCACTGGCAACTGGCGCCCTTGGTGGGAAATCCAAATCTGGCCGAAAGGCTTTGGGAGGCTGAGAGCAATGGGTCTCAGGGCACACGCATTTTTGTTTTTGGTTTGGGGGCACGTTCTACGGAAAACCACCGGATTTCAACCGTTAATGTGTGAACGTCCTCCCAAATCAAGTGATTTGCTAGGGAGGATGAGCAGAGCCCATGTCGCATCTTCGCGGCGCAGGCGCAGTGGGTGCCTTCATTTGGGTTTGCGTTCTTTTTGAAGTTGGTACCGTACCACCCTTGGAAGCCAACTGGAACACCTTTTGTATTTTTTTTGGGGGGGTCTCTTATTTTGACAGTGAAGGCGAGCCGACTTTTCAGCTATGGATTTTCGCAAGTGTTCGAGATCGAAGTGGGGCTTGTAAACTCTTCCAGAAGTAGGCATGCTAGCATATGCCATCTGATCTGCGGACTTGAGATTCGTTTCCATGACATGGGTCGCCAACAGGACTCTGCAGTCAGCATCCCGAGTGGCAAGCCACACCTTGTCTAGTTTGCTCTCACAGTGGGGTCATTATTTTGACTGTTTCTGGGGGATATCAAAGTCAGAAAAATGGAATTGGCTGTTTCCCTTTAACCCGCCACTTAGGTGACTGATCAAAAGTGTGGGTTAAAAGGGGGCCAGTCCCTTGGTAAAAAAGGGTGACTTCGATCCCTTGGTAAAATAAGGGGGCCAGTCCCACTATACACATTGGACGGCGGTGTTCGTTTTGGAGGCAAACGCGGAGCATTCGGAGCACTGCGAGGCGCCAGGGGAACGTCGGCTGTGTTCCATTTTCCTTACTTGAGACCAGAGGACGGGGGGCATGCAGTCATTACATGTTATATAATACTACCACTAGAGCCGGCGAAGCCTATTGGGGGAAGTTTCAATCATAGAACTTGAATGGTTTTCCTTTTGACTCGTGTTCAGTCTATCTAGCTGGCTATCGATCTATCCATTTGTCTTGCTTTCTATATCTCTATCTATGTATTCATCTTTCTCTCTATGTCATTGTCTATCCAATCTATCTATCTATCTATCTACCTATCTGTCTGACTGTGTCTGTCTGCCTGCCTGTTTGTCTGTCCGTCTGTCTGTCTGTCCGTCTGTCTGTCTGTCTGTCTGTCTGTCTATGTATCTATCGGGCTGTCTATCTATTTGATCTATCTAGCTATCTGTCTGTCGATCTAGCTATCCATTATATATATATATATATATCCGTTATATCTGTCTATAAATATATATATATATATATCCATCTACCCATCTAATCTAATCTAATCTAATGTTATCTAATCTAGTCTAATCTAATCTACCTATCCATATATCCATGCATCCATCCATCCATCCATCCGTCCGTCCATCCATCTATCTATCTAATGTATCAGATCTATCTATCTAGCTATCTATCTAGTTGGCTAGCTATCTATCTAGCTGGCTATCTCTCTGTCTATCTACTGTATCCAGCTATCTATCTATCCATCTATCTATCTATCTATCTATCCATCTATCTATCCATCTATCTATCATGTCCATATATCTATCAATCCATCTAACCGTTTTTTTCTTCTTGTTTATATATCTCTGCTAGTTATCTATCTACCTACGGATCTATCTATCCTTTCAATGTATCTATCAACATATCTATCCTTTCTATCTATCAATCAATATCTTCTAATCTATTCATCTTTCTTCGTAAGGTTTCTATGTACCTATCTATCCATCTTTATAGTTCTTCAGTCTTGCTATCTAGCTATCTATCTATTTACCCAGTCTATCTATCTATCTATCCATCCATCCATCTATCTAGCTCTCTATCTATTTACCTAGTCTGTCTATCTATCTATCTATCTATCTATCTATCTATCTATCCATCTATCTATATCTATCTATCTATCTATCTATCTATCTATCTATCTATATCTATCTGTCTATCTGTCTGTCTGTCTGTCTAATCACGAAAGCTAGCTTTAGCTAGCTGAAGTTTCTCCTTGCGTAAGCAAGGTAAGGGGCTCAATTGCCGAAAGATTGATTTTTTCAATTATTTGAGCCGAAAAGATTGAAAAAAATCAATTATTTAGACCCCCCCCCCCTCCCCCCCCCCCCGTCTCAGGCTCGATTCCTCCTTGGTCCACCCCTCCCCCCGGGCAGTGGCTCAGTGTTTCAGCAGTCTCGGTTTGCCCGTTTTGGACTTGGTGTTATGCACTTTTACATGTTCCGCCGATTCAGCTTGTTCATTTGAGACCTCAGTGTTCTCAGTAAACCACCTCGCAAGAATCTTTGCACACGCAGCATGCAGAACCCAGAGGTGCTTTAAGACAGCTTCTGACGCCTCTCGTTGTTTTCATTTTTCAAGGTTTGCCACGCTACCATGTGCGTTTGCGTGTCGCATCCTACGAATCTTGCCGGGCCTCTCGCTGTACACAAGCTACCTCTGAATCCACTCTGTCACCGACCCATCTCATGCAACAACTGCTAGCTTTCGTTCACCCGCTCCTCAAGTCTATCTATCTATCTATCTATCTATCTATCTATCTATCTATCTATCTATCTATCTATCTATCTATCTATCTACGTATCCTTCGTTCTATATAGTAAATCCTCTGAGATCGCTGCGCCTGCTCCAAGTCTGCAGCTGACCTTGCGAAAGTCCTACGCCTGCCACGAAATCTGCACCGCACCTTGCGAAAGTGCTGCCACGGGATCTGCATGTGCCAGTGAGACACGTGCCATGCTGCGCCCATCCACGCAATCTGCGCCTGAGTCTGCAAAGTGCTGGGCCTGGCACCAATCTAGACCTCAGGCTGTGCCTGTTGCTGTTGCCCCTGCCACGTAATCTGATCACCAATCCAACAAAGCGCTGCGCCTGCCACGCAATCTGTACCGCAGCTTGCCGAAGTGCTGCGCCTGTCATGCAAGACTGACGTCGCGAAAAGTGCTCGTGCCAATTAGCCCGGTCCCTGCCCGTTCCCAAGCCGTTCCGAGACCGTCGTCGGCTAGGCGCCGCGACCGAGTTAGCCTTCAGCCCGCCGGACACGCCAAACCCGCAGAGGGTCACGGACTATTCTGTCAGTCATGCTACCGACCAATTGGATGCGGGACGCAGAGGGTCACTCTTTTCGTAATTTTCCCCACCACACGCGCAAGCATCTTGCATTCATTCTTTCTTCACATATGGTGCTCAAGACTACCTTCAAGTCGCTTCTAAACTTCCTTTGGCTATATGCGATTGGATGTCACTGTGCGCAGTGACGTCCCAGAACAGCAGTTCAATACACGCTAGAAAAGGGCGGTACAGGGTCGCCATAGAGCTCAACTGATTGAAACGTGTGCATGAGTTGTAAGTTGCCTTTCAAAGCCAGGACCCGATGTTAGCTCGTTGGACCTCAAGAGTTTGGAAGCGCAAGAGGGGACAAACAAGTCAAGGCGAATTACAGGGCCCAAGACAGAATTAAAGTTGCGACCCATGGCTCCTTGGGTTTATATCCTTCCACTAATTCAATCGGACTCGGATGGGTTGGCCGTAGGCAATCCTTCTGGAGATGTTATATAAATGGATATCTTCAGTGAGTTACTACTTGTACACACCGTATGTTCAACCAATGAAGCGTGAGCTGGCCTTGCTGTTTGCCTAGATCTCGTGGCAGACATCCTCCCTAAGAGTACCTGGTCTCATCTCCCGCGGACCCGCGGGAACCGCCCCCAAACCTCACCAACCAAATACACCTGGGAAGCGGATGGGATCCTTGAACTTGGTCGTTTGAGTCGGAGGACTACCTGGGCTCTGTGGTGCCCAACTTCTGGGGCACCCTCTTCACCCTCTACGACAGCGGAGCTGATGCCCGGCCCCCGGCCCAAGTCCGGAGATTGGATGGTTCTTTGGAGTCCTTTGTCGCTTCAAGTGGCGGGGGGGGGGGGTGGGACCCCAAGAATAGTGGTCTCCCCCTTTGGCTTCCCTTTCAATCCAAGCAAACATGAGTACATTGCGGATTTGCCGAGCTCACCTGGGGGTGAAATGAGTTCACCATGATTTCGGGTCTTGGACTTATTACAACATTTGCATTTGTACGTATATCATCTTCGTCGAACCAGTGAAAGCGCAAGAAGTCTCGCAGTTGGGCAGGAGCCCCGGTTCTGTTTTTGCGTGTTCTGTGTTTGTGTGACGTGCATCAGCTGAAGGATGAGACACACTTGCACACTGACAGGGGCCTTGAATCAAGAAGTATCTACTAGGCAATGGATTCTCTCTTCACACCAAAATGTCCAAGTAGCTTTGACACATTCCCAGAAGAAAATACCTGGCGTGAGGCGGAGCATCAGTGGTGTAGGCAGCATCACCAAGATTGCCATCATATGCGTCTTTCCATGCCCTCGACTTCATCAGGAGCACCAGCATGGGTCCTTTCCGATATCGGTGTGTCTTTTTTTTGGAGGGTACTGTTGTCGGGGTGGTTTCAAGGGAGACTGCCAGGGGTCAGGACAACCACGTCGTTTCTTTGTTTTTTTTTGGGCCGGGGCGTCTCCAAAAAACAGACAACTGTGACAACCCCCACGGGGTAGCACTACCTTTTCCGGGGAAGGCCTAGGTCTCTCCGAAGTGGCGACCATTTGAGTCCCCTTGGCTGCCTCCCTCTTCCCAAGGCGGCTTCCGGTGCACCGCTCTCTCGTTGCCATCCATCCAACATCCCAGTTGAGTGGTCACATCCGATCTGACGGCGAAGTGTTTTTTTCCCCCAACGGCTGAAAGCTATGTTTTTTTCTTCTGCCCAGACAGGCAATAAGGGGTGGTTTGGGGTTCCACTTCGGGGATACCATGATACCACCTGGGCTTGTTTGGCTATGAACAGTGGTGGACATAAATCCGCACCTCGATGATGTCCACCAAATCTCCAAGTAAAATTCATAGGTTCCGGAGATTCAGATTCGGTTCCGGAGATTCGGTTCCACTGTTGGGGATACCACCGGGGCTGGTTTCTTCGTCAGGGCCATCGGTCGATGTGGAGGAGAAAGGCGCCGAATGGCCGCGCATGACTCGCTGCCAGGTGGAGGACCTGGCCAAGCGCGGGGATTGGCTTCAGGGACTTCCGCTGAGGCGGGAGCCATGTGGAACCCACCAAACCCGTGGCCCTGCAACCGATGCCCCAGTAAAAGCAAGGGAAAAACCACCAGTCCCTGGCAAAATCCTCATGTTACAAAGTCTTTTGTTTTTTTTGTTTTCAGACAAACAAACACACTTTGCAGGACGTTTCCTCTGGTTTTTGCTCCTTGGGTTTCCGTGGCTTCTGGGGTGGTTCTGTTTGCATCAAATAGCCTCTCTGCTTGCGTCAAGGTCACAGATGTCTATTGTCACCTTGGTATTTCTTCTGGTGTCCCATCTGTTTCCGCTCACGTGGGGTGTCTATTTCTCGGTGGCCGCCGTATTGAGGCCACGCAAGACCGTCTTGAAGATTGGCTACGAGACCAACGTCTTTGGCGACTGCCCGAGGCCGGCACCGAGAGAGAGAACTGCGGTCACTTCGGTGGCCTTTTCATCGGTGAGCTTGGGCAGTGAAATAGATGCGTTTCGCTGGTGATTGGTTTTATGTCATGCATTTGCCAGGGAAACCCGAAGCTATTTTTCCAAAAGGGCACCTATGCTGAGGGTGTGCTGTCAAAGCACTTGAGCATTGAATGCCTACAAGGGTTTGTCCTGTTTTGGGATACCCTCCTTTGGGTGGTGTAAATGGAAACCAAAAGAAACAACGGACCAACAAAACATCCACAAGATGCTCCGTGAAATAGGATCAATCATGTTTGGCACAATGATCATTCGCTCAACATGCTCAACAAAGGATGTTCGCTATGTTGAGGAGGAGCCTTTTGAGGAAACCATGACCTGGATGAACTTTGGTTAGCAGTGCCCAGTTGCATGCAGATTGATTCAGGGTTATTTGTGTGGCATCAACAGGAGAGCAAAGGATCCCCACCAGTTGGAGGGGACACCAATTGCACCTGTTGGAGTTTGCCGAGGTTTAGGATGATCCTTAAAGAGCGCGATTCTGCTGCTTGTTCAGGGTATTGCTTTGCTTCACTGCTCTTGGCATGTTCAGTGTATTGCTTTGCTTCAGTGCTCTTGGCATTTTCTCGCCGCTTCGCTTTTGCTGCCAGAACATGTTGTTTGCCAACGCGGAGTTGGACAGTTTTGCACTTTCATTGTTTTCCGCGTGACGTGAGGAAAGTCTCGGTGGAGTTTGTGCAGGACGGTGAGAGGCGTTTCAGCGGCGGGCTGGGGCTGGGGCCAGCCATCCCAGAGTGGCGCTGGCGTTTTCTTCCTTGGAATGATGTACACGGTGTTGTAGTTCTGGGGCTGGCAGCAGGTAAATTCCTTAGATTGTTTTGTTTGTTTAGTTGGTTGGCTGGCTGGCTGGCCAGCTGGGTTGGTTGGTTGGTTGGTTGGTTGGTTGGTTGGTTGGTTGGTTGGTTGGTTTTTTGGTTGGTTTTTTGGTTGGTTTTTTGGTTGGTTGGTTGGTTGGTTGGTTGGTTGGTTGGTTGGTTGGTTGGTTGGTTGGTTGGTTGGTTGGTTGGTTGGTTGGTTGGTTGGTTGGTTGGTTTCAATCTCAATCCCAGACCACCCTGAAACCCACTTAAATGGCCCCATCCCAACAGCAATTAAATCAGCCCCACCTACAAATAAGCCCGCCACCCCCAACCCACTAAGTCAAGCCTAAATCCACCTTTGTCTTAATCATGTCGATCTCAAAACTCCTAGAGACAGAGCATCAGGCGGAAGAGCAGAGACGGAACCTAGAACCCTTGGCAATTTTTACGGCTGGTAAGCACTATGACTTCATTTCCCTTTACTTTTACCTCCCTCCTTGTCATCTCTCTGTCTTCTTCTTCCTTCTCCAATCTCCACGCTCTCATTCACCTCTGTTCATCCCTGCTGTTGGCTTCGGAACGGATGGAGCGAGGATGGGGACAGAGAGAGAGAAAGCGGAGAGAGAGGGATAGAACGGGTCAAGTTTCTCCGGCAGGACCTGTCTGTTGCTCAGGGTATTATCTTCCCCAACCCCTAGCCGAGCGTTAATCCAAAATCCACTCCGAGACCTACTCTCAATGGGGCCGGTGATGCGGGGATGCGACCCCCAGCCTTAGGGAAACTGCACACTGACACCTCTACCCACCTGGCATCATATAAAGAGCTTACCCAAGACGAAGCTTTCTTTCTTGCTCATCTTTCAATTGCAGTTGGAGCATAATCATCGTTTGTGCAGATACATGATGTGTCCATCTTGCTCTGCGGTCCGCACCATGGCAAATTCAGGTCCTTGCCAGATACCACTGTGTTCCTATTATTGCTACTTGGACATGCCTTCCGCTGGGATCTTCACTACTTGCCTAGGCTTGGAGCATAAAGCTGCAGTCTTTCTACAGTAGATGACAGTGGCCCGGGCCCTTGCAAGGACACCCCATGACGAGGACATTTCCTCTTGGGCTCCCCAAAAGCGATCCCGATTCCCTCTGAGATGTGCGCTTTTCCAATCACATCAACCAAGGATTGATCAACTGGGATATATTGATTCAGAGGCATAGGGGAGTCATCGCAGCCTTTGTGACTATGACATTAAGTTAAACATGAAGGGCCCTTAAGATCCATGGGCCAAAACCTTCTCGTCCTTCCCATGGCTCCTTTTGTTTTGGTTTGGGAGGCCCAGCATGGAGAACCTGAAGCCGCGCTGGGCGCGGAATCTCAGAGCTGTTTTGGAGCTGGTGGATCCCTGTGGGTTCCTTTGGGGTGCTTTTTGTGTTTAAACGGTTCGGTTTCTTCGATTTTGACCCCCAAGGATTTGTGTCAGCCATCTCCCGGGGCGTGATTTCGGGGCGAAGAGTCAGTGCGGCGCCGTGGTTTTCTAGGAGAAAAACACCGGCCTGGGGGCTTTCAGAATTTCAGCGTCTTCGCTCCCATGGAACTTATTCTTGCAGACCGACAGTTGCCCAAAGCTAAGCCACAGGACCCCCGTTCCGCGAAAGAAGCACCCACGTGGGGCTCAGTACCGCTGCCAGGAGCTTGTGTGTGTGTGTGTGTGGTTGTGTTCTGTTCAGATTGTTTGCAGCTAGGGCTTTGCAGGGTTTTTTGGTCGGTCAATCAATGAATTAGACCGAGCGAGTCGGGCATGATGAATATTGTTTTTGCTTCCACGGCATCCGTGTCTATGCAGTATCTTCTACTCCTTATTGGTGCAATTATGTGTATGTATCAAGATAGGCCCAGCATGTTTGTTCCTTTTCGTTTCCCTTTAAACCAACCGCCCTCCAAACAAAACACACGGAAACACGCACACAGCCATACTGTGGATGGACGAAATCCAATTTGCACCACCTAAGAGTCCCCTTGTAAATACCAAGAAACCATGGCTTCAACTCTGGTCTCTTGCCTGCGAAGTGGCATGGGCGCAACCACAGCATGGCTTGCCGCCATTCTCCGAGGACAAGAAACTGAACTCCTACGCGCTGCCCTTCTTTGGACGGGTGCGGAGTCCGAGTCAAATCGGGTGGCTGGGTTTGGTCAGGTCTGCAACCTTTTTGGAGCAAGCAACAAAAGAAACAAGCAAAGCACGAATCAATCCACCAATCAAACTAAAACAAACACAAACAAACAAACACAAACAAACAAACAAACAAACAAGCAAACAATCCAGCAAGCAGTCCAGCAAGCAATCCAGCAAGCAAGCCAGCAAGCAAACAAGTTTTGCACACCAGATTGCTGGTTTGGGTTGGTGGAAACTGAAGATTTGAAGCCCTTTTTACTTCTTGAGGGCGAATGGGAAAGCACACTAAACCACCAATTCACCCATCCAAGTCATCAATTGGAAGGAACCTGATAGCGTACAGTAAGTTGTGACGCATGACCCTGATTCATCACACTCCTCTCTCTAGTGGGCCTTATTTAGTTGGGGCTTATAGCTGTCCAAGATCCAACCAATAGCACAAAGTACACAGCAGCGGTTGTTTTAGTTTGGCACTGCGTATTTCTTTGCGACGTGAGATACAGAGCAACTGCAGGTGGTGCTTGCAGGCTTCCTCTCGGTTGGAATTCTCGAACTAGGTGTAGTAGTTTATCTGGCTATTTGGTCTTGCCAGCCCAGCCCAAATCACGAGACAATAGTTCTTGCCAACACGCTAACAAGCCAAGCTTTGACTCTGTTGCAGAAGCGTTGGAAGACAGCTATTGGGAATCCAACATGATGCTGCCAGCAACGGGACACATGGCGATTTGGAGACCTCGACCGGGGAAGTGGCTTGCTGCTGCGTTGCAGGGACACATTTGGCTGTGGGTCCAAACCCTGTAGCCCTGGTGAACATCAAAATCGGTGGCAAATGGATGTTCATCCACCCCAAAATGGCTCGCCATAGGTTATGCCCCCATGGCCATTTGCAATCATCCCCCAGCATGTTGCCCACTCTGATTCGATTGCGCCTCTTGCGCAGGTGGGCCAAAATTAAACCACCAGACAGCAGGTTTTAGTCCTTGGTTCCATTTACCAGGGCAAGCCATGGTGGGCACCTATTCAGTCAGGGCTTGAAGCATGGCTTTTTCCACCAAGATAAAGGGAAACCACCACTTACAAGGCAATGTTCAGGTGTATAATGTAAGGATCCCTGCTATTCTTGACCCACAGGTGAAGAAAGCCAGCGCCAAGAACTTCCAGCTGGTGGTGAATGCTGCGGGGACGCCCAGAGGGCCCCCGTGGGCCGACGTTCGCCAGGGCCGGGTTGTGAGGTGCGAGCGTCGTGAGTCTGGGAAATGTTGTGGATTATGAGGCATGAAATGGAATGTATACTTGTTGTTTCGTGAGTATACCCCGGACTATCCAGGACTTGTTTTACGCAAACGCATCGCGCAAACAACTTCAGTCTGCGTGAGACGCAGACTGAGACATTCGTGCTCTACTGGGAAGTCTCGCAGTGCCTGCTTAGATTGAGCCAATGTATTTGGTGCAGTCTACTGACACTCTACAGTATTGCGGGACACTACAATTATTCTAATTGCTACAGTGAAGTTGTTGGATACTGCTGCGGTGACTTTGTTGGAAATCGCTGCCTGTCCTGCTCTCAGGCGAGCCTGCGAGCCCATCATCATGAGGTTCAGTCTAGATGCCTGCGGGTTTTTCTCCTTAGGCCTCCTAAAGCATTTTGCAACGATGTAGGTTCTTGCTGATTTGGTTGGATTAGGTTAGGGGCAGAGAACACTGATCACAGCTAGGACGGTCTAGCCAGGTGGGCCGGATTTCCACACCCCAAGACTGTCTTAACAGGAACATGCAGGAACGCCCCTTTTCTGTGTGTCTTGCTGACATCTATTAAACAGCGACACAACTACTTCCTAGGATCATTGATCACGCTACTTCTCACAGGTTGAACGGCCATTTGCTCGCATTGTGTTGATTCAATTCGAGGATTCCTGAAAGAACCCTCTTCTGTTTCTATAAATCCTTGCAGAATGAAGGATGGAGCGCCCTGCATGATCGAAACCCACGGAGGCCTCTCTGCAGGCATGCCCGCATGTGTCAGATGAAACTTGTGCAGTTCCGGGCGAGTTGCAGGACCAAAACACCATCTTCCTGATGTTCGGGAAGATCTCCAAGGACTGACGCCAGCTTTCGCATGTGAGGAAGCTCAGGCAGCGTACAGCTGGGCATATCTGACGATGCGTTGGCCGAAAGTGCCTCAATTGATTGCAACATACCACAAGTTCGTTCCTTTCGCTACATGAGTTGGCTTGTGGTAGAGCAATATATGAGCCAAAACTGCACATGCAGCTTTGTCTCTGATTGAGTCAAGTTACACCCTCGGATCTGCAGGTACTGCAATTCGGTTCTGTTGAGTGCGCGGGTTCAATGCGACTCGGGCACTACCTTTTTACTTGCTGTCCTGCTTCGGTGCCGAGTTCTGTTTTTAGGCGGTCCTTCAATAGCTTGTGAGACGAGCGTGCGAGCAGCTGACGGCCGGCCGCAAAATCCCTCAGACAAAGCCAAGTAGAAGGGAGGCTAGTATAGCAGCTAGCATGGGTCAGAAAGCCACTTCCTCATGCTTCCATTTTTATTCAGGATTCGTCAGGTGCCACTGAATCAGTTTGATTGGCACCATTATGGATCAGTTTGCGAAGCTTTGGTCTGAAATATCCAGAATTGCCGGTTGTGGTGTCGTGTGCTCACCGTCCTGTTTTGGCCCAGAACTTCCAGCCTTTTGTGTCAAAAACGCATTGTTGTTATGTAACGGCGCAAACTCGTTTTCAGGTGTAGAGCAACGTAGAGGAAAAACAACAATACCCCTAGAAGCCATGAGTACACAATTGGTTCGAATTGTCTTGCAAGCTCGTGAGTTGCACAGGCCCCGAAACGATACAAGATAATCAGCCGATACTTGAATGATATTGTCAGTAGCACGTCGGGTCTTTGACTTTCGACTCTCAATCTGCCCAGCGCTTCCTTCCTGTGCCTGCAAATTGTTGCGTCAACAACTTAGAGCACACTTAACCATACGCTGTAAAGCGATACAGAGAAGAGTACCGATACTGAACGAAACCATGAAATAAGGTCACAAAGGTTGTCCACGTTTCGTTCCTCCAGCCCAATCGATTTGTTGAAGGGGTAGGTAGAAGAGGCCACCTTCCCGTGGCAAACATCTCAAATGCATGTTGAAGCCATGATTGGCCAACCAAGTGGAGTTCTTTCTGAAGCGCGAATGAATCCTTGGTGGCTCCCAGCCATCCCCTTAGCTGTTTTAGCTTTTTAGTGTTTGGTGGGGATTTCCATTTAACCCGCTAAAGGTTAAACTTGGAGCGGGGGATCAGAGGACAGCCCGGAATCGATCCGACTGTGATTCACGGTGAAGCCGGTCGTCCAACGCTTCGGGTGAAACGTCAGGATGTCTTCTGCCTCGACTTCCGCGGCCCCATCTCGCCCTTGGAGGCTATGGCGATCGCGCCAGGGACCCGAAAAACGTCCGAATGCAGCGGGTAGTGCCGCCTGGTCTGTGGGTCTCGCCAAAAATCAGGAACCCGCTGGTTTCGGATTTGATTTGGTGGATACCAGTGTCTCGGTTTCGGCGTGAAAGCATCCAACACTCCGAATTTGGGTTGGCGCCCTTGTGCGATGGAGAAGCCGGAGCCATGGAAAGCTCCAAAACACACCGGCTCATCGGCTCACTTGGCTCGCTTCCAGTTTTGGTCCATTCGTGTTGCCAAGTTTTGGGAGTCTTTCACGCTCAAGTGAGACTGACAATGCTCAGTGCCTCCGAGGGAAACTCATCAGAGGGCCCATGGCATTGAGACGCAGTACTGATCCAGGGCCTCAAGTATCAGCCTGCACATAGGTGGGTGATCTCGAGCATCATACCTGCTTTCATGAAGGCTACGTGGGTCATCCCCAACAAACAATTGACCAGTTGCATGGTTTGCCCGAAATGTCTTGAGCCTGCCAAGTTTGCCAACCGTCACGTGGTCGTGAATTTGAATAGGCAACATCCTGAAAAAAGAGGTCGGTGGACATGAACCCCTTGTAATCCAAATCCTTGTCTCCTTCTTGAGGTCTGCAGCCCTCGCCAAGAAGCGCGCTGTCAGCTGAGCCTTAGCCACCAGCGCATCGCGTGGGTCGAAGACAAGCGGAGACGAGTTGGTCCTGTGTGTTCAGTGTCATTTGCCCTGATTCCAACAATGGCAGTGGACAGGAAACCTTTTTTTGAGATTGCCAGGAATTTGTTTTTTACATTTGACCCGTTTCCCAGTCTCTGCCAAACTCGAAACCACCGACAAAAAGTATGTCTGGCTCTCTTTCCCAATCAACGGAGGTTTAAGTAGTCCAGCATTTGCACTGAAGAAACCAAGGGAGGAGTCTTGTGTTCAAAAGTCTGGGCAGACGCGCTCGAAAACATCTTCCCCCAACCAGGCATGATGGCTGCATCGTTTTCATTCCATGACTCCAGGGTTGGGCATCTTTTCGGCAGAAGTTTCCTGATGTTTGCTGCAGCAAAGCTACGAATGAAAATAAGGGTAAGTTGTGGTGTGGTTTTTTGTGCAGCGAGCTGCCAAGAAGTTGATCGCCTTTGCTTGCTCCTTTCCCAGTCAGATTCCGGCCTTCATTTGCACCCGCCCTCGCGCCGCACAGTGGCCAAACACCCAGAGTGTCGGAAAATGTGTGAGTAGCGCGCCTAATAGGGGAGGAATAGTAGCAAATGTAAGTGTTTCCTGCAATCAGGGCTAAATTTGGTTTTGATTTGCTCGACCCCCTTCTATTCAATATGCCCCTTAGGTCATAAGATCCGCCTAAGTTCCAAGTCGCGAGCTGGCAGGCAGCAAAGGTCTCCAGCGCCACTCGCGCCATCGCTTGTGGTCAAAAGGGCTCGGGCAAACAGCATGCCAGATGGCGGCAGCCCTCTGACAAGACAGGGTCGAGTCTAAAAAGAGCGGCAGAACTGTCTCAGGGCTGTCGAAGTCCCATGTTTTTATGGAGCCAAGAGCCACACCTCATGATTTGTCATTCTTACTGCCATAAGTGGTGTGTCCTACATGTATTTTGCATGTCCTCACGGGCATTCAAATGTGGGTGCGTTCTGTTTGGAGCTGCAATCTGGCATTAGCCAATATGACACTCTGGCAAAAGCCGTCGGCCATGCTGACCACTTTCTGAACAGCTACTCGTCTTGGCCTCAATGCGTTTGCACTTTCGAGTAACACAGATACACGGGCCATGTCCATCACGTTTGTTTCCTACAGTCTTTGGTGCAATGCTTCAGGCTGCCCGTAGTTGGTGGTTTGGATTGGTTGGGGGGTTCCAACCCCGGTGTCTTTACAAACCAAATGGGGAAGGTACCTTGAACGTCCAAACCAAACCACGGGGCAAGGTGAGGATTCGTCCCGAAAGGCCACCGGTCGCATGCACGAGTCGAATCCAACCAAGGTTCAGTAGAAATGTCTCCCAAGCTGTCTTTGCTTCATGGTACCTGTTGCTACATGTTGCAACCATGAAACACTGGCAAGTGTGTTGAAGCGGTTGCATTTGTGTTGTTGCATGCGGCATGGCCCTTTCTGAATTGATGGATTCAGATTGTTTCGTCAGAGTATTCTGTCCGCGCAACTAATGGCACTTTCACATTGTCCAACTACAACGCAGACATGCGACGGGCACGGTGCCTTCCCCCGTCGTGCCCGCAGATGCTGGTGCTTACAAGCTTCGCCCGACTTCTTCTGCCGGTGACTTAGATGCTGCCGTGGTTGCGCGGTGCCCTAAGATGCAAGGCGTCGTGTAGCAGTTGTGTTGAGTTCGTCGAAAGTAGCGGCACTGCTGTATACAATGCTCACCCAGTGTAAGAAAACTTTGCAGTGCTGTTTCGCAGTGTTTTGCAGTGTTTTGCAAAATTTTGCTTGTAAGAGGCGTGTTTTGCAGTGCTGTTTCATGTGTGTCGATGTCGGGCCCCGGTGCCTGTCCGCTGTGTTTGTTGCCGGCGCAGGCTCGTGGAACCTGAAGTCGTACCTCGTTCAAGCAGAGCACCACGTCCGAAACAACATAAGAGCGGTGTTCCTTTTCGCTTCCCTATACAATAATACCAAACCCAAAATAATGGGTTCCCTCAAAAACGCCTACACACCCACCCACCCACCCACCCACCCACCCACCCACCCACCCACCCACCCACGCAAGCACGCACGCACCCATGTGCACAAGGTGTTCAATGGTTTTCAGGAGTTTGCGTGTTGGAGTCCTCGGGTTGTTCTCAGCATCAGGCTGGACAGCAAGGGGCGTCGCCTTGTGAAGCAAATGGACTTGACGGACAGCCGCGGCCTGAGAACGGTTCAAGGAGAGACCCTCGATGGGTCGGAGTCTTTGGTTTCCCTCTGGCACCAAAGGGGTCCATCGTTTCGAGGCTAGGGGAACAAACCACATGAGAATGCCCTTGACTCTTCTCGTGGTGTTCTAAGAGAGGCCTGAGAGGTACTGTTTCATGTTTGTCTTTGTATCACGCTGTCCCAACGAGCACTCCTCACTGCCTGGATGTTTCCAAGCAACTAGGTGGTGTCGATGTTGGTCCACTAGGCTCCAAGATTGGGAGCATTCTCATCCACGAACATATTCAGCCGGATGCCTGTCAGGCACATTGCTCTCGGAGAGCATCACCAGCAGCCGGAGACCAGGGGGTGAGTGGTGCGGCTCAAGAGGTTTCTTGCAAGTTGTTTAACCAAAATCAGACAGTCGCAGAGCTGAACGAAGTGCAAGTGCAATTGCTGCACGGAACATCTCAACGGAGACGTTTGTGCATCGTTTGTTTCCTTCTTTTTTTTCCGGCTTGGTTGTTTCTCATGCTACTGCTTGGCTACGTGAAAGTGGGGCTATCAAGCTCAACTAGTCTTACACGGTCCCGACTCACAAGGAATACATTATGTTGTAAGACAGTCACTTGTATTTCAGTTGCACTGAGGTTTCAAGGTGCTCTATGGAAAGCTGAAGTTTGTTGTGCTGATACGCACCGTCGTGGGCGCCATGCAAGCCTGGTTTGTGCTTTCCCCTTTTTTGTATGCGTGCGGCTTTTTTTGATTCCGTCAGATGACCTGATCGAAATGATTGGCGCTTGAAGACTCTTACCGTTTGCAAGGAACCTCCCGCCAGATGGCCCGATGCATGGGAAGCAGCTAGTGACCGCTGACTAGTACAGGGCCCCCTCTCCCACCTAGGTCGGCAAGGTTTGGACAAAAATCTCAAAACTGAGGTTGTGGAGGCCTTTACAGCCAATTGACTTGAAAACAAGAAACTGGAGAACCTCTTCGGTCCTGGCCTTCTTGTGGGCAATGGTACTTCACATGCCAACAGCCCAGAAGGGCCTGATCAATCGCGGGGGGGGGGGGTTCTGTTAATGAGGAGGGGGCCGGCCTCCAAGAAAAGTCCCCTTTGTGAGCTTGAACACCTTGTTATTTTTGTTCACAAACTTCAGAGACAAATGCATGTTTGGGGAAGCACTTTTTTGGGCAAGTTTCAGGGTTCATAATGGCTTAGTATTGGTGGCTTTTGGCGCAGACTAAGCAAATCAAACTGTAAGGCACATTTTCGCGGGGGCCACAGCGGGGTCTCTGTAATTGGTGGGTTTTGCCTTGTTGGCGCTTTAATTTGGTATTGGTGATTCCGGGAGGCACAAAGGGGAGCATTTAATCATGGGGTTTACGGGTCGTGCACTGTTTGACGTTACAAGATGTTCTTCAGGAATCGTAACCAAAGACCCCGGCAAAAGCACCAGTTTGGCGCCTGCTTTCCTTCTCGTAGATGTTCCAGCTGGTTCTTTAGGCGTTTGTGGAACATCAGGTCTCACCGAAGAGACCTTGACCCAGAAATCGCGCTACGAGTTCGAGCTGTGTGGGGCAGCAAGACGCGTCAGCTTCAGGGTGACTACTTGGGTTCTTGCCTTTTGGGCTGGACTCGGGCTATTTGATTTACCAGAGGGCAACCTCCAGTTAGCAGTGGTTGGTGAAAACAAGAACTGGAGCGGGCTGAGAATTTCCGCACGTCACTCCAATTCAGGGCTTGCACGTTCATGTGTGCCCGCGTTCTGTTTGCTTTAGCTTGCAAATTCCGTGTGGCCTGATTGTTTGATACGCCAAATGTCGCTGTGTTGTCACGAAGACATGCCAAGTTGTAGATGATGCCTGCAACTCTAATTATTTGCTATTTCCGTGCTTAGAAGCCGGCAGATCACGTTGGGGTCACACTGGTGCCTTCAAGATACACCTCTTATCTTCGTTGTATGTGTGTGTGTGTTTGTTTTTGTCAGCATGTCTCGGATAACCCTCAATTAATGGTTTGAATTGATGGCTTAATGGGGAACACCGCTACCCTGCAAAACACCAAGCCACCAATAGAGAGGACCTCTCTCTTTGTTTGTGTAGCTTTGTGTGCGTCCCATTTGCGCTCTTGTTTGCGTGTTATCATTTGCGCATCTTTGTTCAGGTTCCCCCTAACTGGTGGTTTGGTTTGGTGGATGTTAGGTGCTACCTGGTACCTTTCCCATTTGGTTTCAACAGGAGGGGTTCCAGTCCCAATCTAAACCATTAACTTGGGGGATTTGAACGGGCTGGCTTGAGGGTAAATGGAACCCCCTCACCAAACCACCGATTCGGCTCCAAACCACCCTTTTTGAAGGAAGCTGAAACTGGGATGAGAATTGGAATGACCCGTATAAACCATGCCTTGTGGTTTCCTTTATTCGGGACTTCCCACGGTTCCTACTTATGGCACCAGCAAGCCATAGAAAGTGCCAAACAAAAAATGGTTGATGGTCAATAGTGAACCTCAAAATTCCAGAGGAAGCTGCTGAAACTAAGAAGATTCTGCTAAATCCCAAACCAATCCAAACCACCAACTTGGGGGATTGACCCTCCGGCTAAAACCCCTCCTTAGCCACCAAACCACCAATTCGGCTCCAAACCAAAAAAATTGAGGGAAGCGAAAAAGGGACCTGAACAAACCACCGATTAGAAGGAAGCTGAAACTAAGGGGGAAGGGGGGGGGTTCAAATCCCAAACCAATCCAACCCGCCAATCAAGGCTCCCGAATTCCTTACCATGGGTCAAAATCCAAACCGAACCCCCAGTGAACATCCCAATCCCCACTTCAATAGGTTCTAAAATGGGTGCTGAATTCACCTACCAACCACA